TTCTTTTAAAAAGCCCTTTCGCACTTTTTGGGGTTTTTGAGTTTATAAGGATCCATTAAATTATATTGACCGTCTTTTGTAATAAACAATAGTCTTTCTCCTTTTCTAGAAGCAATTAAGTGAATTCTATCTATTGCCAATTGTGTTTTAACTAAAAATAAAACCAAAATTTAATATAAAAGAACTTAAAAGAAATTTATATAATGAGGGGTTTCAGAATTAACGTGCGGAAATCTAATTTTAATTGAAATTGGTTATTTATTTTCAAATGAGCGCTGCATCAACTTTATTTCATTTTCCGATAAATTTGAAAGACACAAATAGCATTACAACTCTGTCTCAAAAGACAATCGAGATTATAAATGACATTATAAATAGTGAACCAAATGATGATTATAATGTTGACGGAGAAGCATTTGAAGGGGGATTTTTAAAATGGGGATTCGAATTAGACAACAAATCAGTCAAACTTACTGTAATAGATTATAATCCTAGAAAGAAACAATGGAATCCAGATGATAAAAAAAAGAGTCTGGATATTCTTCCATCATTTTATCCTAGTGGAAAAAATTTTATACTACGTTGTGGAGTTCTTGAAAATGATGATTTCATTACGGTTACACGTATTGGTGTATTTATCTGGACTTATAAAACTTCTGAAATTAAAATGCATTATTATTGGAATTATTGGAATTATCGTTTAGAGCAGTTCGAATTTGAAATGACAAAATTTAAAAAATTTTTTGATGACTGGACTTTAGGAAGAATTCTTCCTGCTTCAAGTTATGAAACAATCTATAGAAATTTAGATGTTAAATTCGGCAAAGAAGAAATACAGCTTTTTAAAAAGTTTTTGGAAGATAATATCGTCGATGAATTTTATTTAACTTGCTACGGAAAAATTCTCATGGAAACATTTATTGAATTAAAGGATGATCAATGGATTAGATCTTTAGGCGGCAGCTGTATCGATAAATATATACAAGAAGATAACCATTTGATGTCTAAAATTTCTTTATTGAGTATAATTTTTGAAAATTTTGATGAATTATCAGATAATCATCCTGCCTTTATAGCAAGTACTTTAGCCATGATAGGATTTGTAGTTCCTTCAAATGAAGTAATTACACACTCCACATCTTCACATATTTCTGGCTATGGAACATACTGTCATTTATCTAAAACATCGTTTATTGATATATTTATATCTAATCTTTGGGTTCTTTGGAGTAGTTTTCAAAAAAGGTTTCAAATTTGGTTTAAAAATTTTCAAGAAAAGCATACTTTTTTTCGAGATTTCATTATAAAACCAATTATCATGAGAATTATAAAACCAATTATCATGAGAATTATAAAACCAATTATCAATTTTTATTCTGTGAGCTATAGTACAACTATACTTGCAGTTCCTCTACCAAACTTCGTTTCTTATCCAAAAGATTATGAATTTTGGAAAGAACTATTGTTACCAAGTACAAATTCTTTTACAGAATCAAATAAAGTTGATATAATAAATGAAGAATTTTACAGATATTTAAATGGAGAAGCACTACTTAGATTTAAATGGAGTGCTTATGGAAGGAGATATTATTTTGCAGCCTGGGCAATTTATACTGTTTTTCTTCTTAGCTTCATAATTGCCGCAACATTTCACAAAAATATTTCTCAAACTAGTCTATTTATTCTCTTAAATATAACTTCTTATCTTGGAATTTGGCACTTATTTTGTGAATTACGTCAATTTATTTTCTCACCATTAAATTATATGTCTAGCGCATGGAATTTTTTTGGTAATATGAATTTAAGTATAGTATTAATTTTTTTTTTTTATCAAATTAATACTGATATCTTACCTTTTTTTGTTTTTTGTTCATAAACTAAGATTTCGGCGCATTTTTAGTGCCAACGATAACGTCAATTAAATGGCTTCAAAGTAATGTCATGCCAACAGAATTGGCTACCTTTTCTACTTTATTATTAGAAATCAAATTTCTTTTATATTTTCGTGCAACTGATCTTTTGGGTGCTTATTTCTCAATGATACTTGGAGTAGCCAAAAAAGGATTTTCGTTTTTGATAATATTAGGATTTATTTTAGTTGCATTTGCACACTCATTACACATTTTATTACGTCCTGCTCATGATGTGTCCTTAGAATCTCCAAGCTATTCCACTGATCCGAATGATCCGTGGAATTTGGCTACACATTATAACGCTATAGAGTCTAATGGTACAATTGAAGAAAATGCTGCACTTATTGATCCTCCTACTACGACCACCAATATGTTTATGATGATGAGCACAGCAATATCTGCCGTTTACATTATGCTAACAGGTGAAATTTAAATAATCATTATTTGTAATTGCAATGTAATATTTTGCCGATAGATAACAATTTTTTATACTACGTTTAAATGTGTACATTTTGATAGGAGACTCAACACCAATTTCTAACTGGGATTTAGATAGTAACCCCGCTTTACTTATTTTAACAATATTATTTTCTTTTGGGGCAACTATTTACTTAATGAATTTGTTTATCGGTGTGCTTGGTAATGAAATAAGTGAAACTCAAACATGGGAGTCGTATTTAATTCTAAGAGCTGAGGTATGATCTTTATAAATATTTTAAATTCATATATATACATATATATATATATTTAAGATTTTATTAATATAGGTATTAGAAGAAATCGAGTTATTATATATGTTACCTTATCAACGAAGAAAGGAAAATTGGTTTCCATTTGTTATGTAAGTTATTTAACTATATGCAAAAAAATCTTATTCATATTACTTATCTATTTTGATTTTAAAAGTTTTTATGAATGCCACACAATTAAACTACGCGAGCATATAATTGATATCCAAAATAACAAATGGTCAGGCTATAAAAAGCCTTTCTTTTCAAAGGCTCTTAATGAAGTTCTTTCACTCCCTGAAGAAGAACCCACTCTTACAGAAGTTGAGAAGTCTATTGAAAAGAAAATTGAGAAAACTATAAAAGAACTGAAAGAACTGAAAGATTCAGAAACTTTAAGGCTTACCGAACTCGTGAAGGCCATTAATGATCTGAAAGAAAAAATATAACAAATAAATAAATAATATTTTTTTAAATTGAATGGGTGAAATTTTACTATAGAAATTTCAATACAGTATATAGAAATACCTCTATATTAGTCACACCTCTTTATAATCACGGTTTTTTGTATTCCAAAGATGTGACTATAGAGGGGTTTGACTATACCCATTTAACAAAAATACCAAACAAAATCTTTATTCGCAAAATGTGTCTTGGATCCATTCAATTAAAAATTCATAATTATAAATTCAAAATTAAGTTTTTTTGAGAAATTACTACAATAAAGTGAATAACGTTTACTTAGCGAAAAATATTTTAAGCGGTTCAAGAGTGTTCGTCATTGTGATGAATATTTAATTAATAAACATAATTTGATAAAGTTTATTACGTGAATACAATATTTTTATTAGTAAAAAACGTTAAGTGAGTTTGTCATTTCAACTTACAAACTTTTCGCCGCAAACCATCTTTTTTATATACCTGACTTGTCAAAATTTACAATTAATTGAGTATTCACTCAAGTAACTTCGTCATTATCAACGAATTATTTTTTTTATGCATTACGCCCAAGTTTTTATGAGCAATGAAAAAAATACCAGAAAGCTCCAAAAAGCAATTACGAATGCTTACCACATTTAGCCAGCAAAAATTTTATTATATATTTGTCAAATATCAAGACCTAAACTTACTGGCGACGGCATTTGATAAATAATGAATCGCTCAAGTATATAAATAATGAATCGTTCAAGTATCAATTACAATTTTTATTTTGATTCATCATAATAAATGAGCACCGTTACGTTTTACTAGATAATCGCACTGAGAATAACATTTGAGAAAACTTTGATTGCATCATAATTTGCATTTCAAATTGTCATCAAAAATTTTGTATAAATATTATATAGTTATTGCATGCGAAGTATGCAATAACTGCTGTATTTTATGGGCGATGATGATTGGTTGGTAACCCAGCCGGTACGGCTGGGTTACCGAACGATCAGAAGAGAACATAAAATACAGCAGTTGATGCATACGGGAACATGCAATAACGGTTTTACTATCTCAGTTTATGAAATACGATCAATAATTTTATCACGTAAAATTACTATAAAATAATTGATTTATTTTATAGACTGACCATAATAAAGCATTGAATAATATCCGACATTTCATATGATCATGTAAATTTTTTTGTCATGATATTTTTTGCATGAAATTACGTAATCAGTTTTGCAAAATATCACAGAAAAAACTTCACATGGTCATATTAACTTATCAGATAACATCATTATTGAACATACTTACGACAAATAAAGTTAATTTTTTTTATCGGAGTTAATTCATGGAGTGACATTAACTCCAAAAATTTCCTGTTATTTTTTGTTGTCTGTCCAATAATGTACACTTATGCACTATTACGATCACTAGTTAATCACATCGGATTGAGGTTTGAGAACACCCTAAGCATACTAAAAAAAAGATATTTATTTTATAACTTTATAGAATTAAATAAAAAAATTTCCATCAAAAAACTTTGTCAATTATTGAGGAGTTTTATATATGTAAATTTTTAAAAAATTAAAACATTTTAAAGAAATAAAAATTTATATAAAAATTTATATAAAAATTTCTGATGACTACAAATTTTTAATTTTAATTCTATGACTTATCGAATTAAAATAAAAATTTTATCTAATTTGATTAAGGTCGTTTAAAGTTGATTAGTTGTCTAACGTCAACATTTTGGGCTCGAGGGGGAGGGAAAAGATTTAAATCAACACAATATTTGTATAAATCTCATTGGTCGCTAAATATAAAAAAATTTAACTATAATTTCCTTTTTACAAATATTTAATTTAGTACAAAGATTTCTTAACAATTATTTAGTAAATTGGATAAAATTTTTATTTTAATTTTATAAACATAAAATTATAAAATTAAAATGAAAATTTATTAGTTTACACGTAGTGTTTGTACACGGGTATAATTTACTGAATTACAAATTCGCCATCAAAACAATTTTACAATCAAAAAATTAAACCCTCGTTTATGGTTAGGGTAAGGGTTGGCTTGGGATTGGCGAGGTATAGCCTATACTAAAATTTCACAAGGAATTTTTTTTTGTTAGAAACCAAAAGGTGGTTTCATAATCAAAATTTTGAGCTATTTATATTGCCCGTGTACATACACCCCATGTACAAATAGAAATTCTCAATTAAAATATATATAATTTAATCAGATAATTGTTAAAAAAACCCAAATTCAGTATTAAACACCTATAAAAAGTACACAACTAAATTTTTTATATTTAAGTAAAGATTTTTTTGCAATTGCTTGATCAATTTATATGAATCCTTTTATCTTAATTCTAATTTGAACTTGTAATTGTTAAAAAATCTTCATTTAAAGATTTTAAAAAAAATTAACCTATTTTTTAATTTTTATTTTTCAAAACTTTAAGTGATATTTCTCAATAATCAAAGGGGCAAATTCCACGAAAGTTTTTTATTTTTAATTCTAACTAGGCGCTTGAGTTGTTCTAAGGGAGCTATAAATGAGCATGTTATATTGTATAGTATTGGTATATCACGCATGTATAAAGAGAATCATAGTTTCGGATAAGCATTTATGCACTTATATTCAAACCAACGGATATCGAATTAAAAGGGGCTTATACTAAAATTAAATAAAGACTTCGATTAACAATACATAACTAGAACTCGCACATGTGGCGACTTCGTCACCAAGGTTTAATGTATTTACTGAAAGATAAAAAATTTATATAGAAATTAATATTATATTATCAGTATAGAAATTATTGGCTTAATTTTCTTGTTTAAATATAAAATTAATACTTTCTTTGGTTTATCGTATAAGCTACCTAGGATAGTATTAATCATATGACATATAGGTGGCTTCACCACCTAAGCCTTATGAACAAATTAATATAAAACAATATTATGTAATGAACGAATAATGTGTTTATACTTAAATGCTAAATGTGATTAAAAGGTACATATAAAAGCAAATTTGTAATGGCTATTTTATGCTCGCTATGTGTGCCAGGTTTGTGGCACAGATTGAGCTACGTACGAATCAGATTTCAAAATTAGGGCATTACTTGAATATATGCCAGGTTTATGGCACAGCACAAATTCTTTAAAGTTTGTTCATTTTAGTGTTAAGGTTAGTGTTATGGGCTAAAGAAGGGTAGTTTGCATAGTAAAATTGCCCAATAAAATCTTTTTGTTAGAGCACCAAAAGTGGTTTCTTATGTAGAATTATGAAAAATAAGTGAAATGAACATTTGTTTTGAATTTTCTTGATCGTGTTAAGTTGCAACTAATCTTGAAATTTGATTTGTAGTTCAGTAAATCTGCACTACAAACGGCACACATTCAAGGGGTGCAAAATCAGGTGTAATGGGCAAATTCAAAATGAATGGCTCGTTTCGTCAAAAATCACTTTTTTTTCTCAAAGAATTGCATATATAACTACTCTTTGTACACTAATAAAAAAATTTTCTTGAGCAATTTTACTATATACCTTTCTAATCTCTAGTATTAATAAGAGTCTTGACTCTAACATAAACGCTTTTCAAAGAATTTTGACTGTATCGCAAACCTGGCACACATTGAAGTATTGCGTAATCTATAACAATACATACTATGATGTAGTTTTCTAAAATCCTCAAGAAAGGAATTCATGAAATAAAAATGGTCTAATACATGTAATTGGGTAATTATATACCCAATTAATATAAAACTGTCGTGACTAAAGTTGGTATCTGACTAAAGTTGGAACTTCAGATACCTGAAGTTGCACCTGACTGAATTATCTGTTTTAAGGGGACGCTTAAAGCCAGGTACATCACGAGATTACCCAATTTTCTGATTTTTAATTAAAATCGATAAGTAATTCTTATAGTAAAATCGCATTTCTGACACTTTTACTTAGTGAACCAAGACTGGTTTAGATAGCGGTTTTTTATATTTTTCATGTTTTTTTCTTTGTCGTCTCGCTTTGTTTTGTTCGGGCTGATCCGGGTATATATCAGATAACCCGTGATGTGCCTGGCTTTAAGCGACCCCTGTTTTAAGCAGGTGACAACTTCGGGTACCTGAAGTTACAACATAACGATCCTTTAGCAACACTACATAACAAAATAGTTTTGGTAAAAATCACTTAACGAAGAACTTAGTTGTGTGCTTCATCGTTGGGCATCATGGTTCAAACAGAAGGAAACCTGCCTAATCCAAACTTAATCCCACACCTGGCTTAACTACCAATGTTTACTTCACAGTTTAGATCGGGTACATTTCCCCCTGTTCATGATTCACAACATTACAGGTGATAAGATCATAAAGATACAATAAACACATAGAACAAACCGACAAGAGTAGATAGGGCTAGTGAAGTCGAGTGCCCCAGTGACCCTTTATCAATAACTTTCGAATAGTCTGAATTTACATGTTATATATGATCGTACTAGTCCTTGCGCGGCGTCACGCGCCGTGCAGCTACCCTAATTGATTACATGCAAATTGATTTTAAGAATCAGTATGGGCTAAGCCTAGCTAAAATTAATGATTGACTTCATGTTATTTCCTGTAATTTTCGGTTATAGTTCACAGCCTTGTAAAACCGATCGATAAAATCGATTATCTTTGCTTCAACGCTTACTCACGTGAGGATAAAAATTTTAACAACTTGTCAATAATTGTTCCAATCAAAAAAAGCAAAAAAAGCAAAACAATTAATGTAATAAAATCGAGTTAAGCGCTCATATCAACCGAATCGATTATAAGGTGAGTTGGCGGCATGACCAGATACACTGGACTTCATATACTAACATGAAATACGTAGTTTTAAAATGTATAATTAAAGTTTCACTACACTTAATCCTTTCTTGTTTTCGGTATTTCAGGCTGAGAGAACCTACCGCAAACAGACCAGTCAATAGTATTCTTTAAAATAGCGTTAAACAGCCAATTAAATCAAACTTGAAACATGTTCCATTAAATAAGAGATCACATGATATAAATACAACCTGAGTACGATAAAAAACATTGGGGGCTTGATCAAATTATTCTGATCATTCATTCGTGCAAGTAGTTCAGTAGTACAGAACATATAGAACATATAGAACATATAAAATTTTTTGACGGTGATCATTACTGTTCCAGTCAAAAGGAAAGGTGGCGTATCACGAGTAAAGGAGTAACCAATAAATAAGACGTTCCACGGTTGATCATAGGCTTAAAC